TATTTGTTACTCAGCAAGCCAGAAATCTGACTATTCAAAGCCTACTAGAACTTGCTCCAATAACAAACACACCCGCTAAAATTTAAGAAAGTGCTTCCCTAAGTTTCCACTCTTATGTCCAACCTCTATTCTCGCCAAAGCCTCAAACATCGCTTTCAAAAATCTCATCTTCGTTGCCGAACGTAACTCTATGATTTACGGTCCAAATGCATTTAAACTGGGACTTCCAAATTTTTCTGCCACCATTACCTTCTGCATACAATCAATGTCCACTATTTGTAAAAAAAATTAGCAACTTCTAGTTATTCAGAGTTATGGAAATGATAAAGAAATCCGGTTATAAAAATATGGATCACCAATTTTTGTCCTTAAATAGTGCAGAAAAATATCGCCAACACCTTATCTTAATTAACGGCCATCGAAAAAACACTCTTTTCAGACATCTTTCGCCTACAAAAATCTATTTCGTACTTTTATTGTGCCTAACCAGAACATATATAAGAACCCGTCAAATTAAACACAGTACAATCACTAAAATGTCCCAGTAATGGTTCTTTAACTCACAAAAGTTTTGAAAAGCTGCTCCTTCTGGAACTAATCTATGATATTCCCATAAAGCTATGAAACATCATGAATTCCTGGTCTAAAAATAGATCTAAAAAGGCATGAACTACCAAGAAATATAAGAATTTGTTCCGCGAGATCACTTGATTTCATTACCAAGCCAGTAATACTGTTCTAAAAAACCTGTAAGGCTGCCTGGGCAATCTCCCGCCTCCAAACTGAGATCCGAAAATCTTAAAACAATATCTTACAATCTAAAGTTCTGAAACATGTGCCCTTCAAATATCGGGAATGGTTCAAGGAAGTGAGAGAAAAAAACCCCTAGAATCACTCAGATTCTATAAAAATTCAAAACAAATGAATCAAAACCTGTATACAAAATGAAACCAAAAATGTCAGTGGAATATAAACAAAAAGTCCTAAAAAACCTAACAAAAGACATAGTTTATGAAACGCAATAGCCTCGAATTTCAAAAATTTATAGGAAATTAACAACTAATCTCTGCAGTAACCGTTTCACCAACTAAACATAAGAAGATTCTCCAATTAAATCACCTCTAAGACTTCGTACCAGTTTCAAACGAATAAATCTTCAAACAGAAAAATATCATACCAGTTTCCCAAATATCAACGACACATTCCGTAAACGCAGTACCAAGAAAACTACCCTGAAGCAAAAACCGGATTCCTTAACACATTGGTTGATGCTAAACTTCACAGTTAACAACTGCTGTCCCAACATTACTGATACTTCAACAACCTTGCTAAAGTAAAAACAACTCGTTTGAAAAGCAGCACGCAAATAACTGCAAAAGGAACTAAACCATGAAATTTCTTATTCGATCTCTTATCGATACCACAATTTGAAGATATGGTATTCTTCAACAAGTAAAACCAAATATAAAACACGAAGTATATAACGTGGCACTTCATTTGGCATCCACGGACTTTCCAGGACTTCCGAATGCCAAGATTACTGCATCAAAAAATTGAAGATCTCTAAAGAAAAAAAAGCAATTTTACACAACCTTCGTCATAGCACCATTACTTAGGCTTTCCTGAGTTGTAGCCAAAAAAAGGATAAGCCCTTAATATTCTTCTCTGATCATCAGGAAGTTAAAAACTGTTTGACATTTAACTTCAGACTTTTAACTACCGAATCTTCATAACAAAAGCTGAACATTCAGCTTTCGCGATAAGCCATCTGGAGAACTATTGAAGTCGTGAACTTCCTTCTGCTCAAACTGTTTACCACTGGAAGTCATAAATTGTCATCAGTAACAACTTGCATCAAAGCTCAGCGAAAAAAAATTTTTGCTGTGATACTCCGACGTTCTCCACCATAGTGCTTCTCAGACCCTCCTGAGTAAATCAAAACTCACAAAATATTGAGAAGTTCCGACTAATAGACAAAGAACACGTTTAATAATCAGTAAGTCAACGATTTATATATATATCCAGTTGAAAAACTAGAAGACTGCATCAAAGAAGATTTCTTTGTGACCAAATGGAATATTAGTTATAAAAACTTAACGATTTTTTCATTCTAAATAGCGAGACAGAATACAATGACCACAACGAAGTTCGAACAAACGCCCCGCATCATAATAACTAAAATTGCACCTCAACCCGTGTAACAAACAAATTTTTACAGTTCTTAGGAACCACTACTATTATTACGATTCTCATATTATTTCCAGCATTTTCGATGCTACTAGCTGTAACTACAGATCTTAGCGGTACAATTAAGTCTGAATGAGCCGTTACGGATATTCTAATTCAACGCTGCCAGCCAAAATTCGCTAAGGACATCACTTGACCGCATATGAAATTGAAAACTAATCTCTGCAGTAGCCGTTTCAACAACTAGACATCGGACGATTCTCCAATCAAATAACCTCCTAAACTTCGCGCCAGTTCCACACGAATTAATCTTATTCTTTCCCTAAGAAAAAATCTTGTTTTTTTGTGCTATAGCCTAAATAAATCCTTTGGTCAATTTTATCACATTCCTAGCTAACGGATAGCGACTGAAATAAACAACAAGCAGGTCTACCCAACGCAGAGAAGACTTGAACAAGTTTAAAACACGGACGTTAGCCGCACTATTGGAGTTGAGCTTCCTTCCTCTTCAAACAATCTTCTTCCACTGATAAAACACCTGCATTACACTACTCACTGTTCTTAGTTCAGTTTAATTCTTTTGCAATAACTTCAGCTCTCAGTAATTTTTCCTCAATTTCCAGAAAACTAGTGCTTAAGTTTCACTCTAACCCCTCCGCAGTTTTGAAAACCCGATGCGCTGGTGGCAGGTGAAGTAACAGACAATGCTAGTCTATCTCCTGTCAGCTACTTGTTCGTCCTTTTCGTTGGAACTCTCAACCACGGGAAGGATCAAACAAATACTGCACTTGTGGCAAAAAAACTTGCAAGACGGCAAGTACTGAACTTCAAAAGAATCTTAACCAAAAAAAAAAAAAAAAAAAAAAAAAAAAGGGAAAAA